AAAAAACATAGATCTTTGGGGGGGGGGGGGTACCATATATATATGTATATATATATATATACACATGTTAGTTATGTGAGTTATATGTTTCTGGCGTGTGTTCACCACCTGCACGACGGATCCAAGGCCCCTCCGACATACCAGGGAGCGACTTGACCAAATGTCAGACCGGGCTCAGAAACTAAACCCAAATTTCCGCAGCGCGGTGATGCAGGGGCCTAAATAATTCCCTATAGTATTTTGGGGGGTTCCTTATTATAACTATAGTACCATGGGCCCCAAAACCCTCATCTCAAGCACACACCTGAAAGCTCAGGGTAAACAGCCATGTGCCAAGTTAGGGCTCCAATCCCAGATCCTGCGGTTTATATAGGGCTATCATGAAACCCTAAACCCTCCCCCCAACAAAAAACTTATAAACCCTAAGCCAGCGTTCTCTTCCTGAAGGGTTACTGTAAGGGTCCTCGTTTCGAAGGGCTGGTAGAAGAGTATTCGATCTGTGAGACCCCTGATCTCCAAAGCTAAGTAAGAAGGCAGGAGCCCCGAAACCCTCCGAAAACCCCCGGAGACCCTTGGGTTCAGGGCTTAGGGCTGAAGGCCTTAGGGTTTAGGGGCTTAGGGTTTAGGGTTTAGGGGTTTAGGGTTTAGGCTTTAGGGTTCAGGGTTTAGGTTTAGGGTGTAGGGTTTAGGGCTTTGGGTTTAGGGTTTAGGGTTAGGGACCCTTGATCTTCTCCCCTTCATTCAAATTGAGGTTCATGGTCACAGTTATTTATAAGTAGGGTTATAAGCAGGACAACCTTTTCAGCTAGAAAGCTGCCCATGAACCTCCAAGTATCCTTTGCCGTCCCTCACAAATCACAAAATCCTAAGTACTTTGCAGGCTACCTATTCTTGCTTGAAGAAATTCCCCTCGAAAAGGACGGTTTTTGGACGACAGGTAAACTCTGTGTGTTTTGCCGCTACTCCCAACTTGCGTGGCTGCTGGAATCGTGTTTGGAAATCAACCTCTAAGCCTTAAGCCCTAACGCTAAGCCCCCTTATTGTCTGAACTCATTCTACCGAGGTCCGTTCACATGCATTCAATTCCTTTGGACTTTTTTGTTTGGTTTCGCACATTGTAGAGCCCTTGGGCAAATAACTCCTTTTAACGTGGGGATTGACATACGGATCCTAATGTCATGGCAGCGAACAACGACAGACCCCACCCAAACCCTGAACCCTGACCCCTTTTTCCAAAACCCCTAAACCCTAAAGCTTAACCCCTAAACCCTAAACCCTAAAGCCTAACCTCTAACCCCTAAACCGTAAACGCCAAACCTTAGACCCTGCGCTGCAAGTCCTGAAGTCCTAGCCTTCAAGGCCCCCCTTTTGAGAAGTCCCAAGCCTCAAACTGCCAGGTAGTATTAGGGAGACCTTTCTTTTGCTTTGTTGAAGAAAAAAGGGATTATGGGATAGGCCAACCTTATGGTTTTTGTTTGGGTGCCTTTTTTGGGGGTCCGAAACCAAAAACCACAGTGCCGGAGTTCAAGGTGTGGAGTGTTGTGTTTGGGGTGTTGTGAACCCCTAAACCCAAAACCCCTGAACCCTAAACCCTGAACCTGTTTTCCTCAAGCCATACTTTGGCCATACCAAGGGTGCGCAGGGGGCGCCGGTGGTCGTGGTTGGGCAGCCCATGGGAAACCAGCCGCCCCCTGGCATCGGCTGTAGAGGAGAACGGGATCCTGCAATCAAAGACAGCACTGGTTGTAAGGTTCGAGGTCACTAGACTAGGGCACAGGGCTTTCGACGTCGTAAGATTGGTTGCTGATGGCGTTCGTTATAGAATCCTTGTCCCTGGCCCTCCAAGTCTTCTCTCAAAGAGCACGCATGGTCCAGAACAGTAACAGTAATTCAGGCGATGATGGCGCAGAGAGCGCTAGACACTAACTGTTAGTTTTGCTAACTACTTATCTAATTATGCTGTACTGGACCCCCGAAGCTCTATTCCTATTCCTTAGCCGCTTGCATGAAATTCGAGATACCCTTCACCGCTACTTGGGAGACGCAGTGATGTCCGAACCCCAAGACCCTACACCCAGGTGCGAGGCGTGAGTTGGGCCCAAAGGGCACAATTCGAGCTGCGAGAGTTCGGGAGTTTTACCACTTCCGCAAACGTAACAGTGGAGCACGGCAGACTCCCAAATAAGACTCCCTAAACCCTTCAAAAACGTCGTGGATCGTCCGGTACTGGCCCCGGCAGCAAGGGCACAGAACATGCTTGCACAAGCGGATTTTCCGAAACTCCCGCTGCTTCCTCAGTTTGATCACGGGAAGCCGCCGTAGCTGTGGCTTCCCAAAGGAGCCGGAGGGCTGTGAACAGACTGCATCCCGAACCTGAAGCTTGCGGGTTGAGGATTTTGGGGTTTAGGGGCGAGTGTCTCAGTAGTGGTAGTGATTCGGCTATCTTGTGGCATGTTGACTCACCTTCGTGCCGGTCCCAAAGGCTGCATCATCGTCCTCAGCTTCGTAAGCAGTAGCGGTGCTGGCCTTGATAGAGGCTGTTGTTAAGGACTTCTACCAGGTTCACTATGAGGTTTCTGTAATATCGAAGCCTAAATAATTACCTGTACTATTTTGGGGTTCCTTATTATGAATGTAGCATACAGGGCCCCAAAACCCTATTGTAACTATTAAGGCCCCTACATTACAAGGGTTTAGGGCTTCCTGTGCACTTTAATCTAGAAGCACGGGCTTGGAGTCAAGCGCTTGCGACTTCGGCATAGGATGACAGGTTTCAGTCACATCCCCAGCACGACCTGCGCGCAGGCGGCAAGACTCGAGTCGAAAAACATAGTGATGTATGGGCTTGAGCAGTTACTAGCAGGGCTCCCCAGTGCAGTTCTAATTCTGGACCCCAAAATCCCATTCTTCTTATGAACTGAGGCCCCGAGCTTACGCAGGCCTACGATGGGCTTCGGGCTGAGGGTTTGTTTCGGGTCATGGCACGCAAGGCCAGGGACAGCAACTAGCGGTCTTGGCGGTATTTCGCATTGTGTCACTCCATTTCCCCTCGCACTCGGAATTTCTGCTGCTTCATCGTCATTCACCTGGTAGACCTAGACTTCAACCCTAAACCCTAAACCCTAAAGGCTGAAGCCTAAGGCCTAAATCCAATCCTATGCCCTAAAGCCTAAACCCTAAACCCTAAAGCCGAAGCCCTGAGCCCTAAATCCTAAACCCTAATCCGTCACGCTTCTTGGGCAGTTGGCATCTTGAGACTTGCCGACACTTGCTGCCTGAAATATTTGGACGAGAGAGGTTCCATCCTCCTGCTGTGCAGAGACCATAGGGGCCTTAATAAGTACCTATACTAATCTACTATTTGGGGGGCTCCTTCTTGTAATTAATTATAGTATATTACCCCTACTACTATACTCTACTGTTTTGGGGGCTCCTTAGTATAATTCTAGTATCCTCTACCCCAAAACCCTCTTCTAATTATTAAGGCCCCTATGTGAGGAATCTAGGGCTTCCTTCTGCACTGCGGGAGGTCGCGGGCACCTTATAAGGGGTGCTCTTGAGAAAGCCGCTTTGGAGCACACGAAGCCAGAAATCCTGAACCCTAAACCCGAAACCCTAAAGCCTAAAGCCTAAAGCCTAAAGCCTAAAGCCTAAATCCAATCCTACGCCCTAAACCCTAAATCCGAAGGCCTAAGCCCTAAGCCCGAAACCCTAAACCCAAAACCCGAAACCCTAAAGCCTGATGCTTAAAGCCTAAACCCTAAATCCTAAGCCCTAACCCTAAACCCTGAACCCTAAACCCTGGAACCCACCTCTGAAACCTTTGTTCCCGAAACCTAAGGCTCCATTCTTTCGATCTGAAGCCACGGAGCCCTCAACCCGACCACCAGTGACCTACTTGTTTTTGGGGGAGGCGGTATTTGTTTCGGGTTTGGGGTTCAGGGTTTAGGGTTTGGGGGGGGTGATCTCGGAACCGTTTTGGTGTTGCTGCAGCGTTTCAGCGGCAGGGATGAACCAAGCCACGGGATGCCGATGGGGTCCGAAACTATAATATGTATTATTATGGCATGTCATGATGAGGTTGGAACATCCTAAAGTATACCATCAGATACTATAATATACAGTACTATACCCTCACGCCTGGAACCTAAACCCTAAACCCTAAACCCCTAAACCCCTAAACCCCTAAACCCCTAAACCCTACACCCTAAACCCTAAAGGCCTTCTTTCTTAAGCACCACGCTCTGAAGTTGCGTTGCCTCCTAGAGGCCTGGGCCCCCGCGACAACGTTGCAAGCCATGGTGAAAGCGCGGTGACTCTAACGTTGCTTTCAGGGTATCTGGGTTCGTGTTGGATACAATTTTACATTTTTTTATAAAGCCCGACAAGGACTAAAACAAAATGATGATTTTTAATATAGCACCAACAGGGAACAAGGTATGAAAGGTGTACAAAAGCGTGACGACAAGGGTACTATACCGTTGCCCTGTTTTTTTCTGAATCCCTCCGTGCGTGTGGGGCCCATGGTCCCGGCAATGGCTTTCTGCGTAACGGGTGCAGCTGCCCTGGGAGAAAGGACGGACCCTGGATGCTCCAGGTTTGAGCTAGTTTTGTTGGACAGGTCTGGTGAAGCCCATAGTTGGGTCTTGATAGCAACCTCATGGCACCCGCATAATACCCCCTGTGGTAGCCTTGTAGGTGACAGCCGGTGCAGGAGCAGTAGTGGCAGTTGGTAACAGTGGTGGCAGTAGTAACAGCAGCACTAGCAGTTGTTGTCGTTGTCGTAGTAGTAGTCGAATGCAAGGCACCGGCGTCGCCGTAGGAGTAGGAGTAGGGGTACTGGGCAGGAGGAGCAGCAGCATCGTAGTGGTGGTGGTGGTAGTAGTAGTAGTAGTAGTAGTAGTAGTAGTAGTAGTGGTAGGAGCAGCAGCAGCAGCAGCAGCAGCAGCAGCAGCAGCAGCAGCAGCAGTAGTAGCAGTCGTCGTCGTAGTAGTAGTGGTAGTCGTAGTCGTAGTCGTAGTAGTAGTAGTAGTAGTAGTAGTAGCCGTAGTAGTCGTAGTAGTCGTAGTAGTCGTAGTAGTAGTAGTAGTAGTAGTAGTAGTAGTAGTAGTAGTGGTAGTGGTGGTAGTGGTAGTCGTAGTCGGAGTAGTCGTAGTAGTCGTAGTAGTCGTAGTAGTCGTAGTAGTCGTAGTAGTCGTTGTAGTCGTTGTAGTCGTTGTAGTCGTTGTAGTCGTTGTAGTCGTTGTAGTCGTTGTAGTAGTAGCCGTAGCCGTAGCCGTAGTTGTAGTCGTAGTCGTAGTCGTAGCAGTAGGAGTAGTAGTAGCAGCAGTAGTAGTAGTAGTAGTAGTAGTAGTAGTAGCAGTAGTAGTAGTAGGCGCCCCCCCCCCTACCAACTACACTTGCTTA